GCGGGCCACGGGGCTCGCTTGCACCCGGCTCCGCGTCCCCGCCATGCACACGCACCCCAGGCGATCCCCGCATGCGGACACTGCCTCACGCACGCCGGGGGACGCCGACTCGGCGCCCAAATATGCACGGAGCAAGCGGGTTCGCTCGCAAACACGTGGTCTGTCTCCCACACTGACCACCGACGAGCACGCAGCGTCCCCGGGCCACGGGCCCCTCGGCCGACAGGCACGCGCGCAGGCACATCGGAGGTGCGCATTCATCCGCCCCCAGACCACGGAACTGAGGGGACCAGGTTCCCGCATTCGGGACCCTAGGATCTGGGTAAACACCCAGAAGACGTCACAGCTCCCAAGAAGTGCGGTGAAGTGGCGCGGCCGGGCGCGGTGCCGTCGGGCCGAGGAAGGAAGGGTGGGTGGGAGGACCACCCACGAAGGGTATCGTGCAGACTGGGCACCCGCAGGGGACACCTGGACGAGCTCACCGACGAAACGAGAGCACGGGGCGGCGTTCGGGAAGCTCAGGGAGTGACAGGAGCGGCTTGCGGAGAAGGCAGTGGTCGCGCCTGACAGCGTCGGTAGATGCGGAAATCGCTGCAGCTGGACAGTGCCGGAAAGACGCTCTTCCTTCATGGGGAGACTTAGGCCTGTTTCTGTTGCAGGGATAGAGCCCGAGAGAGGGACGGGACACAGATGGGCGACACTGGGTGCCTGGGACACTGCCCCCATCCCCCACCCCACCCCACCCCCGTTCTGCAGGTGGAGTCACCTGGGGAAGGAGGCAGGAGGTCTCCAAGCTCACACCCGGAGGCTCACTCTCCGCCGAAAGCCCTGCAGTGGCTCCCCATAGCCAATGCCCAACGTGCACCCCGGTCCTGTCCCCCTCCCCATCCAGCCACAGTGGCATCTCTTCACTCCACAAGCACACAGCTGCCCGGCATGCATCACAACCTCATTTGTACTTTCATTACATTATGAACGCCCATCTCCTCTCCGAAGCAGTAAGCTCTGTGAAAGAAAGGCCCCAGTCTGTTTTGCTCCCAAGGGCTCAGCATGAAGCCCAGCACATGAGGGGTGCTCACTGTAACTCCGTGGAGTCGACGGGTAAGTTTAGGTGCAAAGAGGAGAATCAAGACTCCACAAAGGGAGAGTGGACAGATCTGATGGCTTTTCTGGACCCTGCCTGTCATCACTCAGCTTAACACTCACTGGCATCCAGGCAGGCTCCGACACTGTTGAGAGCTGGGAGGTGACAGAAGGGGCACAGCTGGGGGTGCAGGCTTCCAGGCTCGACAGCAGCAGCTCAGGCTCAGCCACCCGTGGCCAGGGCTGCATGGTGCCAGATCTGGAGGTGGCAGGTTCTTGCAGCAACCCACCTTCAGCCAACTTCACCTTGCTCCTCCTCTGTCTGTGGCCTTCTAATACCTGAGTAACTAATCCTGAACTGAATCCCCCTGCTTGAGTTGCATGGAGCAGTTTCTCTTTTCCTAAGCCCCAGGCCAGGTACAGAACAGTTAGTTTATCCATATTTTTCAAGCAATTTGCCAGACAGGGGTTACGTGAGTGGGGATATCAAACATAAGCCTGGCTCTAAAGAAGTTCATGGTCCAACAAGGATGAGAAAGTGTGCCCACCAGTTCCACCCAGCCTGTCCCAAGGCCTTCACTGCAGCGGGCAAACCGCCTCCACTCAGTGGAGGGGGACTCAAGTCCCCAGACACTCTCTGGGCCTCACTAAGTACCAGGCACTTGTGCACACTCCCAGGACAGCTGCCTATCAGGCAGCCCCACCCTCCAAGCCTACAGCCACTGCACTGACCCCACTGGTTCACAGCAGAGAGGCTACACATGGGCCTGGGATCTGCCACCACTGGGCCTCGATTTTGTCATCTGTAAAATAGGCACTGCTTGGTGTACTGGACTCGAGATCCAGGATGTGAACTGCCCAGCACTGGACAGGCACCTTGGTGTGTTCTGTGAATGGGCGTGGGGCTGCTGCAGGAGTTGGCTGTGGCTAATGTGACTGCGTAGGACGGCACCCGGCATACAGCAGGTATTCGGTAGATGTTAGCCGCTACTCGCGGCAGTGACTGCTCAGGACTCTAGGGGCCAGGAGAAAGGAGGGGCGATATTAGCTCTTGTCTCCTGGGGCTGGAGAGTCTGAGGTGGGCCCAGGCCCGGGCCATTGCCCTGGGGATGTGTGACCCCTGCTGCTTCCTGCAGCAGCCCGGGCATGGGCAGGGGAAGCTTCAGAGGAGGAGGTCCCCCGCTGCTCTCCCCCTGGCAGAGCCAGCTGGCTGCGGCCTCAACAGAGGCCTCTCCAAAGACAAGGGGGCGCAGTTGGAATGATGGCTAGCACATGTTGTATCCCTTTCCACCTACCTTCTGTCCTTAGAAAGCCGACCCCTGGCTTTGCCCCACCACCCTGCTTCTTTAAAGACCTTTTGTGGTCAGCCACATGCAGAGTGCCTCACCGTGGCTCCAACCCTTATAATGGGTTCTCACCCTGCAGACAGTGGGCCCCATGTAAGACAGGGCTGGCCCAACAAGATGTCCCCAGAGTGGCAGGTCTTGGGGGACAGGAAGACACTCCCTTTGAGGGCACAATGCATGTGCAGCTCTAGAACCCTCCATTCTAGAATCAGCCCCCAGTTTCCCAGAGCCTGCCCTCCCCCACCCAGTCCATGGCTGGGTTAGCCTCCCACTCCAGCCTCCCACCCCAGACTTTAGCCTCTCATCCCATACATTAGCCTCCTGCCCCAGCCTCCGACCCGGAGCTCTCAGCCCCGGTCACTTCCCTGCCTCTGCCCCAATTCCAGGAAGTCTTCACAAAGTTGGCTGCTACCTTGGGGGGGCCGCAGGTCCCTCCTGGCTCCCTGCCGCCCCTGCCCTCTGACACAAGTCAGGGCTCAGTCGTGCCCCCAGACCCCTTCCTAAGACTGGCGGTGAGCTGGACCGCCAAGCCCCCTTCCGTGGCGCCCTGCCTTCCATGAAGGGCAGCGGCAGGCACAAGTTGGACCAGAGAACCTTCATGGAGCAGGTGCGCGAGTGCAGGGACAAGGGCTACCTGCTCTCTTCCAAGAAGATCGGCTCCGGGGCCTTCTCCAAGGTCTACCTGGCCTACGCCACACACGAACGCATGCAGCACAACCCCAAGCTGTCCTCTGACTTGCGAGGCAAGCACCACACCATGGTGAGGCATGCCCACCTCCTTCCCAGTGGGCCCCAGAAGACCCTTCCCTGTCCTAAACCTACTCAGGCACCTTCCAGCTGCTCCAGCTCCCTTCACTAAGGCTCCCTCCCCAGAGGCCTCCCCATGGCTCCTGCAGGCTGACCACTCTCTGTTCCCAAACCCCTTGAACACATA